AAAGTTATGAGAATTAAAAATAAATGTCCCTTGCAATAATTTTCTTTCAGAAAACTCAAAAAAGTTTTTCTGTATGTTATTTAGTTCTCAGAACATGCATACGGCTGTTAGATGCAGGGGAAATTGTCACTGAGTCCACAGATAAAATGAAATTAATAGTTTGGGTCTTATATAAGAAAACATAAGTTTCACTGATTTTTGTCCTTGGTTTTATCTTAAATGACAACACAATCACCAGAGGGGATAAAAGAAAAACCAAATAAGATTGTGTTTTTGTGCTGTCAGTAACCCGGCTTCTTTTAAAGCACAATGGCCAACTAGAATCATGGAAAGAGTTAAGTTTGTGAACTGAGGTACCACTGTATAGGCTTTTAGCAGGATCTATAGAATTTGCTCTTCTGTCAATCCAGTTCAACCGACAGAATCACGTGTAGGCCATATTGACTATGGTATCTACTGAGTTACATTTGATTTTGTTTCTTTCAGAAGTTGAAATACTTCAAAGAGTTCACACTAAGAAACTCTGATGCTTAGAAATACTATTAATCAGCATTAATTTGGTAGTTACTTTATGTGGGACACCGTGCTAAATGTTTTATTTGCATTACTTTAACTTTCACAATTACCTAATGAAGTATGCCCAATTATTGTTTGTATTTTACAGATGAAAAAAATGAGGCTTATAGAGGTTGAACAACTTGCCCAAATAGAGGTTTTTGTTTCAAATTAATTCATTAGTAATTGTTTAGGTTTGAAGAATTTTTTTTCAGGTATTTTAAGTTCCTTTAAAATAATTTATAATTAGTCAAATGGCCTCTAGTGTCTGATAATCATTGATTATCAGGAAGAGCTACTTTCTCTTTGAGATTTTTTTTCACAGAAATATATAGATCAGTAATATGTGGCAAAGCAGAAATTTGATCCTGGGTCTGTCTTCTTACTAACAGAGCTCATGTTCTCTGCCCATCATTCTCCCATTATTAGAACATATAACAGAATCATGCAAAAGGTAGTATGGTGGCTACTCAAAATATTAAACAAAATATTACTATACAATTCAGTAATTCTCCATCCAGCTACCCACTCTAAAGAACTGAAAACAGATTTCAGTAGATATTTGTATACCAAAATTTACAGCAGTATGATTCACAATAACTAGAGTGGGAACAAGCAATCATTTTTGACAGATAAAAATGATAACAAAATATAGTATATACATACAATGGATTGTTATTTAGCCTCAGAAGGGAAGGGAATTTTGATATACATGCCACAACATGTGCGAACCTTGAAAATGTTCCAAATGAAGTAAGCCAGTAATAAAAGGACAGATTTTATATGACTCTGCTTATATAAGGTTCTTAGAATTGTCAAATTCATAGAGACATAAAGTGAAATAGTGGTTTCCAGGGGTTAGGAATAGTGGAGAATGGGTAATTTATGATTTAGTGAGTTCAAGCTTCAATTTAGGAAGATGAAAATGGTCTAGGAATGGGTGGTGACCATGGGTGCAAACAGTATGAGTGTACCGAATGCCACGGAAATGGACACTTCAAATGGCACGTTTTGTAACGTATATTTTATCATAATTAAAGAAATAAACAGGAGTTAGTTGTGTACTGAAACTAAAAGTTCAAACTCCAAAAGTATCATTTGACTTCTCATTTGTAAAAGATGGCTTAAAAGTAACCAAGTAAGAAAACCTTACTCTCTTTACCAGCACTACAAATTTCCTACTTTGTTTTCATTAAAGATCAACATAAGTAACTGATAGAATGACTCTTAAGATCAGATACAAGATGGAACACCATGGAATACAGATATCAGGATGAACTCTAGGAAGAATAGCTTATCTCAGGGGACATCTAATAATACCTTATCTTAACCCTTAATAACCTTTAAAATGATTAAAAATATTTTTCCATAATAAAAAATTCTTAAAACAATACTTAGGAAAATTGGTTAAATTTCCTTCTCAAATCTATGTATTAGGACTTTTAAACAACTTGAAGGAAACATAAAACACTTTTCATCACATACTAGGATTCTTTTGTTTGCAACATTTTAAAAAATAATTAAATTGGCTCATTTTAGCACCCTAGATTCCGGCCCAGTCTGATTTCTTATAGAAAAATATGAACATTAAATATAAGCTTAGTGCTCTTTGAGTAGTCAGTGCTTTTTATTTTCCCTCCTTTATCAGATGCTTCACAGCTCAATTTTACATTGCGCTTGATAAAATTTTGCATTGTGCTCAATCCAGAGCAAACTTTATGGGATTAACTAAATTAAAAAAATAAAGTAAGTCTCTCAGTCCCTTTGACAAATCACATTCAATAGAGCAGGTTTTGATACAGTCAAGTGTTCATTCCCAACCCTTGTCATTATTGGATTTTGGACTTGCTCCTTCCTGTGCTTGAACTATCCCCCTTCATCTCACTGCATAGCTAGCTTCTCATCCTGCAGGCTTTGGCTCAAATGTCATCTCCCTAGAAAGCCCAACCACCCCTCTCTCATGGTCCATAAGATTATTGAGCTCTTTCCTTGGAGGCACTGTAACATACTCTGAAATCTTCTGGTTTCCCTATTTGGTTGCCTGTTTATTGTGTGCCTTCACAATTAGAACATGGGTTTTGCAGGCACAGAGTGAGGACCATGTTGTTTTCATCTCTATCCTTCATGTCTAGCAAAGTGGCAGGCTCCTAGTAAGTGGATTTGCTCTTCTATTTCTTCTGCTTTGCAATATCGTGTATAAGTGGACTCAGAGCCTTGCTCCTGGGAAACATGGACTTACTGCTTTGTTTACCTTTTCATTTTATAGATGTCATAATTGGGTTGGGGTGGACAACCAAAAGGAAGCAAGATAGAGGATGTAAAGAAAGACCTGCCTATTTTAAAATGGAACTCTCCTACAATCCAGTTTTTTTCTTTTCAGAGTTCCTTGAAGGCACTTATAAAGTGGTACCTTACCTTTCAGTTGTCACCATCTGTTGGAGGTATAACTTTCTTAGATACCTCATGAGAAAGGCTGGCTGTTTTATTTTTTTTATCATAATGCTATGGTAGCACTTTCAAATGACACATATCCCTAGCAAATTATAAGCATGATGCTGGCTGCTCTTTCTCACTCTGTCTAGGAAGACCTGCCTTGTGCAAATATTAGTTCTGAATCTATAGTACAGTGAGACAAATGAATGGAAAGTAAGTTGGTTTCTTTCCCCTTTAGAAATGAAAAAACTCATATAACATCACTGTTACTTTTACTATTTATTACTAGTATTTACTACTCATATAACGTCTTTGCTTTTACTATTTTAATAAACGATAAAATAAATCAAAGCAATGAAAACAGTGATGGAAAACATTTTCTTAGGATCTTTACAGCTATTAATTTCTTATGGTGTATTTTATGCAAGTAGTGAAAACAGACCTCTAATTAAATTGTAGATACCTTAAAACAAGTCATCCTACTCAGACATACATTTTGTTTCTGTCTCCATCCAAATATTCAAAATTAAGATTATGTCCTTCAACCATAGCAAATTTAATTATTTCCCAACCATGGCAAACTGCTAATTCTCCCCTTTCTAATAAAAAGTGCTTATTTTTAGAAGGTTCATGGCCACCCAAGATAACAAACTAAATTTCCTAGTCTCTTTTGTAACTAGGTGTGTGCATGTGAATGATCATGACAAACCAGATCAATTGCTTAAAAGGAAGAAATACAGCCTTCCTAACTTTTCTTCTTTCTTTTTCTAAATCTCGCTGAAATTTAGGTGTGGTAGTGAGCCCTCCTGAGGCCTGAGAGTGAGAGTACCTCTCTAGAGAAGGGGAAAGAGATAAAAAAAAGCAAGTCAGTCAGAGCCACAGCCCCTATGCTTTTGCAACCACATACTACCCTGGGTTACTTATGTCTGGACTGTTACATAAAAAAGAAAAGCACAGTCATCTTGTGTAAGTTGCTGTTATTTGTATTTTCTGTTTCAGCGCTCAAACTTACATTCTAACACAATAAAATTTCCTTGATGACTCAGAAGCTGTTTTGTAATTTTATAAAGTGGACTTAAGACCTCAAAATGATAAACTTCCTGAGTTGGAAAGGACCGTCAAGGTTGCCCTATCCCCTTACTTTATTGATGAGCAATTTGAAGGTAAAATGAATAAAGCATCTTGAGCTTCAGAGGGAGCTGTAATAGGACTAGTATTAGATCTCTTATACTTCAGTTTATCCTTTCCCTTTGTGGTTCAATTAACAGAACTCCTGGAAATTACTCAAGAGGCTCCTCTTTGGAGGTCTGAACAGCTTATTACCCAGAACCTTGGGCCTTCTTTTTTCTACACAACCTAAAAGCAATTCCATCCCAGAACTGCACAGCTGCTCACACCTTCACAATAGGAAGAAAACGTGACTTAGGGAGGCCAGGGAGGTTGTAGCACACTTCACTGGAGGGTGGCAGTTGAATTGGGAGAACTATGCCTTTGCTTTCTTGCCAAGCTGAACCTGGCCTTGAAAGTTTTCTTTTCCTTCAATAAAACTGATTCTTTCTCCTATGACCTGACAATGTGAAATTCGTTTAGGTCACAGAAGCATGGGAGTAGAAAATTCCAAAGCCACCAACCTTATATAACTTGATGCTATAACATGATGATTCCTGATTATCATTCACATGAAATCTGATACTATAAGAAATTCTGTATAAAAAGTAGCAATGGAGTAAGGATTCAACTGTCAAGGGAACAGCATAGAGAATAAACAAATCATTAACTTTCCACCATGTACCCAGCCACAGTACCATTTGGACAAGAGAAGTCAGGCACAGTCAAGATTAAGGAAGTGAAAGATACACTCCAGCCATTAGTGTACAAAGTCTTTGAGCTTATTCTCCTAGTTCTTTGTCTTTAAAGGCCCTATAGATCATGTTTGTGTTTTATGAAACTAAGAGCTAATAAATGAATTTCATAAAATTCCATTTTTATATACCACCGCCCCCACTTCTTACCATCCTCATTTTCATCAAATACTGGTTGTTTGCTTGAAGTGTTGGCTCCCATGATCAAGTCTGTCCTGACCTGGACCCTCCTGTTACATGATCCACGCAGAAACGCTCATCTTTGCTCAAACCAGGTCCAGAAAACTTGCTGAGTATCTAGGAAGAAAAAAAGAAATGGTCACCTTATAATATGGTACGCTCTAGATGCCCCGAATACAGACCGTGGCTAAAATATTAACCTAAACTGTATCATGGCAGTAGAAATTTTTGTTCTCAAGAATTATGATTTCAGAACTAATATGACATCAAGCAATGAGAGAAGAAACTGTCTCTTCAGCAGCAGATCTGTACTTACAAAATAGGAGTGAAGCAAATTATTTTCCTAAGTATGGGGAAAAGTTTAAGATGAAGTCAGCAATGTTTAATTTAATAACTGTAAAATTAAAATATATTTTCAATCTATATATTTGAAAACTCTGCTAATTTTAGGTTTTATTTTTTGCTGCGTGACCAACAATTTTAATTTTATTCATAAAAATATAAATGTGACAAAAAAGTAATTTTTTAAAAAGACACATTGCCATTAACCCCCACACACACTTTGAACACACTTCTCCCATTGTTTTTACTCTTTTAGAAGTAGTTCTGGAAGGTCTCTTTCCCTTCTTTAGTTGAACTATTGTGGCTGCCTTGATGTCCTGAATGAATGCAAAATGTTAAGCTTTCTCCATCATTTTGACTTTGGTGAAGAGCCTGAATAAGATGGATGAGGATCCACCACGTTTTTGCGAGCCCATCTTCCCACTGGATGGCACCAGGCAGCACCATTCACTGTAATTTTTATATCACACCACATAAAGACGCATAAAAGAGGACTTCCAAAACTGCTTCAGAAAATGGCAAGAATGTGGGATAAATGTGTTCAAAGTCAGAGGGAGTATTCCGAGGGTGATAAATGGCAATGTGCCTTTTACTGTACTAATTTGTTTTGATTTTAAATGTTTACCACATATTTTGATCACCCCTTGTATATGCCATGCCTTTCACCCCTGCCCCAGAAGGTCCCACACTGTTCAAGGGATACACTCTGGAGAGGGCTTCGTCACACCAGCAAGTAGGTGAATTTCTCCAGGTCTGTTTCTATTTTCCTTCCTCTGAACTTAGAGATGATAATGATTCTTACCTCAAAGAAGAGTTTAATGTGATCCAAATACAGTATATTTAACTCTATAAATGTATGCTACGTATATTTATATATAATTCCTTATGTTGTATTTATGTGTATATTATATGAATATATATGTCTTATGCATTGACTTACACAAATGTAGATATAGATATATTTAACACAATAAAGTATTTTCATAGCATAAGTGTTTAATATTTGTTGACCACTCTAAAGCCCAAATTAAATGATGCATTTGAGAGATAAAATTATTTAAATGTACACTATGGCTCTGTTTCCTTTTAAAATATAATGTTAAAAATTTCCTGAAATTGGTAAGGAGAGATAGCAGCCTGGGTTCTGGTCCTAAACTGACACTGATCATGGCTCAGAACAGTTTCTTAACCTCTGGTCTCTAGAATGAGGGAAAGAACAGAAGTCACCTGCTCAGATGCCAGTAAGTGCCAGGGAGTTCATGTGAGTACATGAGCCAGACCAAGTGTGTGACATTATTGCACTGTGAGGACAATGGTGACAGTGGCTTAAACTAAAGGAATGATCTCTCTAAGATCAAGAGATTGCTGCCATGTAAAAATGTGGACCAGGGCATCAGGTCCTCAGGTCTATGACCAGGGTGGAGATCCAAGTTTTATACAATAATATTTTAAAATTCAGCTCAGCTATAGCACTTGGGACAAATGTGGCTCATGGATATAGCTAATGAGACAAGTAACACAATGCCTGGTACATAATATGCACAGAATAAATGTTAGCTACTGCTATTCTTGATAACAGCATTATTTTCTTGTGTATTATTTTAAAATTACTGACATTTATTGATTGATTATTTTCTTCTTGGACTTATGCCTGAAGGAAATGCAGATTCCAGGCTTGGAGACGTGTTCTAGTTAGCATGAGTTGTGGACAAATGATTGAAAAAACACTTGGGAAGCCCCTGTGCAAGAGTAGAAAAAAAAAGTCCATTTTCTCATTAGGAAAATGTAAGTAAAGTTTTTATTTGGAAGGCAGACTCATTAAGGAAATGCTACTTTTCATGTAAAAGCCAACTGCTGGCGAAGTGCCTTATGGACTTTAAAAAGAATCATTAAATGTACTAAAGAAAGAGTCAGCAATTAGGAAGCAACCAATTAAATGGCTGGGATAGAGGAGGGGCCTGGGCAGGTGGTAACAGGTGGCTAAAGGAAGCTCAATGGGATTACTGAGATGAAGGCAGACAGAAAAAAGCCCAACTGTCTTCCAAGCTAAAAAAATCAAAAGGCTTTTAACTCCAGCGGAAATGGGAATTAAGAAGCAAGTGGATGCCCTTTGTATTTTATTGGGGGTTAAGAAGAGAAAGGGCATCTTTTTGTTTTATTATGGCATTTAGAATCTAGAACAAGTGAGGAATAGTGTAAAGACTTAAACACTGACAGTACTAGAAAAAGTGGGCTGGTCCTAAAGAAAAAAATAATTGTAAGGAACTGTGCTTGTTAACACTGCAGACTTGAGCTAAATTCTTTTATTTTGTGCTTAACATCGGAGTTCATGTAGCTCTCACATCTCACCAGTCCTGTCATTCTTGTATTTTTCTTCACACCTTGGGCTTTTCTCCAGTAGCCTATCTTCTTGCAACATAAAATGTCCCAAGCATTGACCTTGCAAGTTGTCAAATCAGAAAGAGAAAGAGGGAGGAATCTGCTGCACTTCAGAGTTTCATTCTTTGTTCACCACAGAACAGTGATTTTTAGTGGAAAGAAAAATATACAAAGGAATCCACTTAGGAGAGGAGCAAGTAGATGGGACGACGCAGTAATAGCTTTACATCTGGTGCATTGCTCCCAACAAACACAGTCCAGTTTATAATAGCCTTTCTCATTTTCTCCCCCATGCGATAAGCAAATTAGAGAGTGTTCCCCACATCCAGAAATAAATCAACCTTTCTCTAGCATGAACATGAAGACACATTCTTTCCATTTTGCTGAATGGAGCTCAGGAGAACTGCATTATTCCCCTTTGCCACCCCCGCCCCCAACCTTCCTGATATCCTGGTTCTAAATCCACAGCATTGGAGAAGGATCAAGAGAAAGCCTCCATGCATGCAAATGAAAATCCAAAACTCAGAAAATATAAAGGGAAGAGAACTTTTTTCTTGCAGGAACACAAGAGTGTTCAGAATCTACGTTCCCCTGGCTACATCATTAACTGCCAAAGAGCTCCCTAACCCTAACACTTCACCTTTACCCTGTCCTGAGCTTCCTGAGCACCCGAGGCTGCCAGGTAGAGTGGCATCATCTTTAGACCTGGTGAACACAGGGTATGACGCAAGAAGGCTGCAACTTCCCACAGAAGTGTTTATACATTGTCACAATATGTACACGCATAGATTATTTTGCATTTGAAAATTGAGAAATATTCAAAAACACAGGAGAGAAGGAAAATAAGAACACATCCAAGTTAAACACTCTCAGATACTAACTTTTTATAGTATTCAACTTGGCTTCACCATTTTTAGATATTGCAAATGATAAGTAAACATTATTTCATGTAAACCCTCATGAGAAATTGATTACCCTTTCCCATTTCTCAAAGACACCCACCATCCTCAACCCGGTGTACATTTTTCACTCCACTGGCTACAGTTTTACACACATGACAAGTGTTTTAAAATAAGTCATCTGACTGACATCATTAAGTAGGTAGGTATATTTCGCATCTTGCTGGGCTCTTTTACTATCATATTTCTGAGGCATGCTCATCTTTACGGCTCTAATTTCTGCTTTTTAAGTGCAGTATAGCAGTCCATTGTGTGAGTACAACATATTTTACTTTTCTGAGTAAAAATATTTAAGTTCTTTAGCCTTGGGACAGGGGGTGAGGAGGAGATTCTTGTAGAAATGAAGCCAACCATCAAAAGCGGCTTTTGTTGTTGTTGTTGTTTGTTTAAAGCTGGACTGAGAAACAAGCAGAAACACTTCTCTCACCCCAACAGATATTTACTGAAGCCTACGTCTGAGCCAGAGTCGGTGCTAGTCTGGGGGCCAAGCAGGGTACAAAAGAACCAGGACTGTCTCAGCCCACATCTGACTGTTATCTTGACCACCTGTCTTTGTTTTATTTCTCTTCATCTTTAACTTCCCGACTTCCCAATAGCGCGCTTAAGCTGCAGTAAATTTACTTCACCACTTACCTGGTCCCTGTTCTCCCCTCACACCTCTCGCGGAGCTCAGAGTGATGCTTCTGTCCAGGGAGCCGGGCCAGCCCAACTTGGAGAGCAGGCAGGGCTCAGGAGAGGAGGGAAGGCACCGAGCCAGCTCCGGGGAGGGGCAGCCCGGCCGGGAGGAACGCAGCCCTCCGCGGCGTCCCCCGTGGCGCCTCCCGGAGCGGCCTGCGAGGGAGCCGGCGCCGAGGACCGCGGTCTCCAGCAGAGGCCGACACGAGCCGGCGGGGCCGACGGGAGGGGAGGGCTGCGGGCGCGGCTCCGAGATGCGCGGGACTCGCGGCGCCTTGGCCCGTACTTCCCGGAGCGGGCGGGGCGGGCTTCCCCCCGAGGTGACCCCGGCCCAGGCTCGGGCGGCGCTGCGGAGCTGGGGCTAGGGGGCAGGTATATCCTGAAGATCTCGGGGAATTGCACAGCTTCCGACGGGAAAGACCAGCTCAGGACGCAGCTCCGGTAGATTTTCTCATTTTATTGCTGGGGTAGCTGAGGCACCGAGACGGGAAGTTCTTGCCCAGCGTAGTTTAACCGTGATTGGAGGGAACATCTGGTAGACCCGGGTGTCCTGGCTCCCGGCCCCCAACTTTCCCACGCGTCTCTCTTGCTCTCCCCTTTGCTTCTGCAAGTGGGGCGGGGACGGGAGGCACAGAGAGGGAGGCAGCCCCCGAGAAGGTTTTAGGTTCCCTTCCACAGCAGTTTCTTTTACTTCCATTTATAATTATCAACACCACTGAAGTGACCTACTGTTCTCCCTCGAATCCGAGAGTTACCCGCCTTGCGCCAGGGAAAGCCATTACACAAGGTTACTTTTGACCCCGACCCCGGAGTGTGTGCAGGGAGAGAGTGGCTCTAGTCTGGAGCCTCTGCCCAGCTCCTCCTCGCCTTGCCATGTGGAAATGCCAGCATTGCCAAACATTCGGATTTTTAAAAGCAAACTTTTGCGTTAAACCTCCCATTATCTTTGCACATTGGCAAGTTTTTTTAAAAAACGTTTAAAACGTGTTAGTCAAACATAATGTGTCTGTAGCTGAATGTCCTTTTCAGACTCCTGCTTTTGATCTATGTAGATCCAAAGTTCCACAGAGGGCAGGAACTCTATTGGCTTTTCCACTCCTTTTAATACCAACTCTGAGGGTGGCTCTTGATGAACGTTGAGTATCTGCTGCAACTGTTGAAGTGTTGCAGCTGAGCCACACAGTGTTCTAATTATTTTCATATTTAATATTTGGTACTGTATTTTAATGTAGACTTTTACCTCTTCTTTCTCTCATCTCAGCGATGGGCTGCATTCCTCCGAAGTATTTCAAAACTTAGGATAACTGTTAACTCTAGCTAACCTGTAGTTCATTTTGCATCTGTGGTCCAGAAGAAGGGATTTGCCCAGAGCTGTACAGTGAGTTCGTGGTAAGGCTGGGTAGAAATGTCTCTTGTGCTGTGGTTCTGTCTAGCACCTTTGTTCCCAATCCTTTATGAAGAACCTGTCTGGAGAAGAGTACATGCTATCAGTTAACACTGAGTGTACAATTTGGAACAAGTCGTAAAAGATGATTAAAGGTGACAAAGTTCAGGAAAAAAGTAGACTTTTAAAAGAATTTATTTTCAGTAAGGGTTTTATTCTTAAACCCCAATCAGACACCTGGAAAAAAACATTATTTTTGTGTAACCTCTGATAGTGACCTAATGGCATTGGAGGTGCACTGGATTTGTTGGATCTGTATTATTATCTTTTTCCCTGAAGATGTAATGATACACAATTTATCATTAAACAAACTGAAACTGCATGAAAAGGAGCTGAGACTAGAACTGAAATCTCTGTAAACCTCAATTTTGTATTCTGGTTGGCATAGAGGTCTTTGGAGTCAGGCAGTCTTTCACTAAATGCCAACACTGCAGTTTGACATCTCTGAGATGTTGGCAAAGTCACTTAAAGGCATTGGGCTTCAGTTTTCCAATTATTCAGTAAAGGAAATAATGGCCACCTCTATCAGCTCTGGTTGGTGCAGGATTAAATGAAATTTTATATATATATAAAACAGTTCACTTAACACGGCGCTAGGCAGCCCAGAGCAAGCACTCAAGAGACCAGCAACTTTTAAGGTTGTCATTTCAATAGGCAGGCTACCAAGTAGGCCCTAATCCTTCTAGGATATTCTCTGTACACCACTCTTATGCTGGTCCCATCACTTTTTCTTAAAAACTACTAATCAGTCCTAATGCATGTGTTCATGTATAGGCTTGGCATAAATTTTATTTAAAAAGTGATTCATACTACTGTATCATTTGCAGTCCATCAAATACAGGGCTGGCTCAAAGAGCTGATTGTGTTTAAATCTTTTATTTATTCATTTGTCCATACTCTGTTGGTGCTACTGTCTTAAATATAGCTAGCTGTTGGAGAAAGGCAGATGCTGCCACTGAAGGTGCTTGGGAGACTAGGCTGTGTACACATAACAATCTCTGGAGCCCCCCAGTGGAAAGGAGAATGAAGTTACAAGTAAATCAGTGAGGAAGTCTTACCCAGATTAATATACAGAACTATTATTGTTTTTGAGGTAGGGGGTCACTATATAGCTCAGGCTGGGGTTGAACTTGAAGTGATTCTCCTGCCTCAGCCTCCTGAGTGCTGGGATTGCAGGCATGCACCACCACATCCTGCTTATATACAGGATTATTTAAAATGTAGAGAGGAAATTATGGTTCATAACACAAATTGTAATACCTTCCAAATTGAACCATATAATTATTGTTTAAAACTGTCCATTCAGTTCCACTGCATGTAAAGTGATGCTCTTGATTCCAGTAGACATGGCTTTATGTTGTCCATCCCCTGTGTCTCGGTCCACACCTCTAAGGTCAGTGCTCCTCCCCTCACTCCATGACAGCCCACAGCCTTCTGCTCTTTTCAAATCACACCAAGCTTGTTCCCACTCAGCACACTTGAATCGTTCTTCCTTAGGCACCGACACAGTTTTACACTCCTTCTCAATCAGCTGCCAGCTCATCTGTCTCGGCTCGTATGTATCCTGGCCACAGAGACCTTTCGTCAACCTCATCATTGAAGTTGTTTCCCCACTATCTCCTCCACTTTTCTATGCACCCTAATCTCTTCCATTTTTCACTCGTCATGAGCTTGAACTATTTTGCATATATAACGTCTATGCTTTGTTTCCCTCCATTGAATGCAGATTTCAGAAGGGCAGTAATAGCATCCATCTTGTTCTCCCTTCTATGTACACCACTGAACTAGTGTTTGGTGTATAAGAAATATCTAATAAATACATGTTCATTTAATTCTATCATTCTTTTTTATGGAGTAGTTCAGGGGAAAGTACAAAGAAGACATAATATATCTCAAAGCAATAACCACTCAGTCATGAAGTTGAAGTAGGCATGGGCTATGTTTAAAGGATTTGAAGATAAGTATACCAGCAGTAACCTCAGCCAGAGATTGATGGGTGTTCTTGTGGGTGCTCTTAGCTCAACCCGAAGGAGCCAGAAGCCTTGGTTACATTTGTTATCTGTCCTAAACAGTGAGTGAAAGCTCACTAGATAGAGAGGATGGCATTCTAGATCTAGAGAATTGATGCATAAAAATGTAATGTTTTGGAAGAATTATATAATGGCTTGTGTTTAGACGTCCTCCCAAAGCCTCATGCTTTTTCTGAGGTGGCTAAATCTAGAGTGTGTGATGCTGGGATTAAGGGCGTGTGGTTACTAAACCATATGAATGATTGGTTTGACATTGCCCTAATCCCATTAGTCCCGATGAGATAGATAAAAGGGATAGAAAGATGCTGTTAAGATCCTTTTTTGTTTGTTTGTTGTTTGTTGTTTTTTTTGTTTTTGCTGTCTTCCACTGCTGTCATGAACTTTTGTCCCTCGGCCACCCTGCCTTGGAGCCAGCCGATTATGGACTGAAGCCTCTACAAACTGTGATCTAAATAAACCCTTTCCCCTTTAACTTTGGGTGAGAGGTATTTTGTCTCAGCAACAAGAGAAAAGTAACTTTGACAGGATTTGGTACTAGAGAAGTGGGGTCGTTGTTGTGACATTACCTGGCATGTGGCTCAAGAGCCTTTGGAACTGGCTTGTGGGAAGGGGAAAGGTTAAGAAAGGTTCAGAGATGCACGCTGAAGAAGTAGAGCTGGAACACCCTAAGCTGTTCTTAATGGAAGTTCTGGTCAGAGCTCAGAAGAATAGAAAGTTGGGAAAGACCAGGCTCAGGAGGTTTCTGCTGGGAAGAAGAACTACATCTGCTGTTGGACTCCAGACAATGTGTGTTATGGCTTGGAAGAAAGTTTGTCTTCATTTTGCTCATGTCTAGTGAGTTGGCCTGAGACTGAGATTAAGGGTGGCAGACTAATTAATCTCCCAGAAGAAATTTCAAGGCAGGCTAATTTTGAGGCCATGGCATGGATGGTGTTGGGGCTTTTAGCCAGATCTATGTTGAGAATCAAGAGCAAAAAGCCCAGCAGAATGATTTAAAATGTTTTGAGTTTGGCCAGAAAGGAAGTACCGGTAAAGCTGTGGACTGCAAAGATAGAGCAGAGGAGGTCTTGATTGCTGAGAAGGAACTGGAGAATAGAAAAGATGACCTGAGGGCATCGCAAGAAGGAATAGGACTCAACCGTTTGCAGCCTCAAAATTGCAAAAGTGAAAGACTTTGCTTTAAGAAGAAAGCCCCAGAGCACCGTGTTCCAGAATGGTGGCAGCCTAGAGGATTTGTTCCTTGGAATTGTATTCAGAGTGCTTGGCGATCCAGGCACTGAAGCCCTACAACCAAGAAAAAGGGAAGATTGTCTACTACTGGTCCAGCTGGCAGCAGACCTTGGCATTGCCCACGTGGCACTGGTTTTAGAATGGAAGAGTTATGGGGTCAGGAAGGCTTCCACCCAGATTTCAGAAGAAGGCCGTGTGTCTCTGAGGGAAGTGTGTGAAGCTGTGAGTGTGAAGCCAAAGGTGCAGTGGAGACGCTAGAAGTTTGGAGATGCCAGGAGTGTGGGTCATCTGAGGAAAACTGCAAAGAGGGTGCAGAACCGGCCTAAGAGAGAAGCCAGAACTACAACCACCGAAGTGCTGCAGGGGCAGAGCCACCCAAGCCCTTTGGAGTTCACAATTTGCCACATGTTGCAGGCGGTAGTGTGTGTGTGTGTGTGTGTGTGTGTGTGTTGAAAGTGAAACTGTGGGATTTAGGGTTTGCCTTGCTGGATTTTTGGCTTAC